GTGTACAAGGGAAGAGTGGAGTAGACACGGAAAGCAAAGCTGAAATGCCCAGAGGCAAGGGAAGAGCCATTCCCCAAAGAACACCCCCCCAAACGGAATGGGCTTTCAGATATTCTCAGAATAACACCCGGCCCCCCTTGAAGTAGTCAACTTGTTGCATGCCAAGCTTCTACTTCTTGCATGCTGCCAGCATAACACAGGTCTTCACAGCCTTTAACATAACATTTTTTATACCATATGTGCTTTATAATTTTAGAAGTCCTTATGTACATACACATTTGCAAGCTTGGAGAGTGTGGTGCAGGGGTGTGCATTTTGGGCGCTTATAAACACATATTCAGACATTAATCTGTCATTGAGAAGAGGACCCCTGACTCAGTGAGGAGGACTGAAAGATGAGTCAGCATCTCTGATTTCACATGAGCTGCACCCAGACTGTGCCCATGGCCAGGCCTGACCACCGTGTCCCCATTGCCTTTCCTGACCTGGATTCTTCCCTTCCCCACCACCTTTCTTTTTAAAATCGAGATACCAGTTCACATAATATAAAACTCACCATTTTGGAGTATACAGCTCAGTATACTTTATTGTAGTCTTAAGATTGTGCAACTATCGATAATCCAATTCCAGAATTTACCCATTATCCCAAGAGAATCTCTCTACCCATTAGTACTCACTCTCAATTTCTCCTCTCCCCAGCCTCTGGCAATCATGAATCTACTTGTTTCTGTGGATTCACCTACTCCATAGAAATGAAATCACATTTGTATTTAACTTCTTTCACAGCACCATGCTTTCAAGGTTTGTCCATTTTGAAGCATGGGTCAGTACCTCAATCTTTTTTGGCTGAATAATATTCCACTGTGTGGACATATCACATTCTGTTTATATATTCATCCTCTGACGAACATTCGGGCTGTTTCCACTTTTTGGTTATTATGAATAATGTTGCTTTGAACATTTGTCTACAGGTTTTTGTGTGGATTATGTTTTTAATTCCCTTGGGCATATACCTAGGAGTGAAACCGCTGGGTACTTCCATGTTGAATCTTTTGAGGAACTGCCAGACTCTTTCTAGATTCTTAATTGGCAGCTTAAACTCCAGAGATCCTGACAGAATTTAAGTATTACTGAGGAGTTCTTCTTCCCCAAAATATTTCTATGATTTCTGCCATGGAAGAAATGACTTTAAGAGGTCTTAGAATTATTCCCTTCATCATAAGCATTTAGGTTTAAGATGCAATACTGTCGAGCAAGTTGCACCAAGATTTAAGGAATTTAGATGAAAGGAAAAAGAAAAGCATTCCAGAATGCTGGGACTCTGCACAGGAGAGGCGAGGAGGTGCAAACAGTTAAGAGGGCTGGCTTCTGCCATCAGTACCACATCGAATACAGGCTCTTGTTCTGCTACCTCATGTATTTAAGATAGTGCCAACTGAGTACTGACCTTATGCAAGGTCACCCATCTTGGAGCCAGGCACTTAAAGATGAGTAATACACATTTCCTGACGAACTCAAAGCCTGGTGGGCTAGACATGATGCACAAGAATCATGGTTTAAGAGCCGCACTCTGAGGCCACGTTCCTCTCCTGGTCTGAAGTGGCATTGTCCTTTCCTTGGGATAGTGACGGCAGACGAAGCAGCTTTTATCTTTTTTAACATCTTGTTTGGCAACATAATATTTGGCAGCCCTATACTGGTCTAACACATTTGTTAAAATGTTATTTGTTTCTGAAATCCCTCATCCCTCAATCCCAGGATCTAAGCACAGAGGAAAAACAAGATAATTATTGAGACAAAGGTTATTGATCCAACGTGATTCCCATGTGTATTAAAATGGATAATCCAAGTGACCCTGAAGTTATAATTAGCCTAAGACAGTGAGTTCTTGAGGGAGAAATGGTTTCTGTAAGTCTAGGAGGTCCGGGGTTAAGAAAGCCAGAACAGAGGCTTTAGTTGAAGGTGTTTTATTCTTGACAAGCCTGGAAGGCACAGGCTTGCCCCAGCCTCTCTCACAAGGTAGTTTTTATTCACGGCATTCTGTAACTTGAAAAGATAAAATGGAAATAAACAGCAGCTTCTGGCTGTGGGTCTATTACTGGGAAGCTGTGATAGCAGGCACCTTACTTTACCTCTCGGGCCTTAGTTTATGCATCGGCCATATACTAGCCAGAGATAACACTCCTGGTGCTTACTGGGTGCCAGGTATTATTTTGAGGACTTTGGATGTCTATTTATTTAGCAACTGTATGAGAACAGATCTCATTATTTTTCCCATTAAAGTAATTTGCCCAAAGTCTCACTTGCATGCAGCCAAGCTTATTCTCCTTTTTTCAAGATTTATTTTTGCACATTCTATTTTAAATTAAATTATTAATTCTATTGCTATGGTGATGCAAGAATAACTTGTCCATTTCTTTTTTCTTTTTATGACAGAGAAATTTCTAATGGGACACTGAGCAGCGCTGTGGTGTTCTCCAAGACCAGACTTTGTTCAAGAAATACTGAAAAAGTATGATAACACACATATCCCACAACAACTTCAAATGCAAACATGTATGCATTTTAATATCATGAGCAGTGCTAGAAATTCCAGTTGCTAGCATCTTCCTGGTATATAACCTTCCCACCTCTAAAGCATTGTGAGTTAGCGTGCAATTCTGTTCTGCTTTTTAAATGATTGCTTAATGATTGAAATATTAGAGAAAGAGTGAGGGAGAGTAAGAGGGAAAGATAAAAGGCCTTTCAGCATGCGGCTCAGATGATGCTTGGGCTCCACTGAGAACTTTTCTACACTCCCAACTTGAAATCTAAACCAGCATGGCTCTCATGGAGTGAATGACCCGGTTGTGGAAGGTAAACAAATGTGTATACTAAATGACCTGAGAGTAACCACAGGAATGTATTCACAAATGTCAATGAAAGAGCAGGGCCCATTTATAAAAGCGATTTAAAGGCAAGTCTTATAGGAACTGTCAGGCGTGGCAGGAAATAAAAAATGTTAAATACTTTTGTAGCTAATTAAAAATTTTCATTAGTAAATAGTTTCTTTGGCATATACAATGGAGGACTTTTAAAACTTGCAGTGGGGCAACCCCTTCGGGTCTCCTTTCACTATGGGAGCTTCTCTGTTCTCTCAATAAATCCTGCTTACTCACTTAAAAAAAACTTGCAGTGGTCATTTGAGGGTGTCTGCAGCAGGTCTGAGCTCCGTTCTCCATGCTTTACTGCACCTTGCATGCTCTCACCAAATGCTGGCCAGATGGAGGGTGGGACAGCCGGTTCTCAGTTACAGTAAGTAGGAGGTTCCATATGATCTTATTAAGATCATCAACTCTCCTTCTTCTCTTCCTCCCTGGCCTCTCCAGCATCTGGCCCAGATGATGCCTGCTCTCCATTGGAGCCCACGTTCTCTCCAACTGCCTTCCTGTTGGGACGTGAAGTCCCTCCTCTTCTGGAGACAGAGCTTTCTCTGCATGTGCTCCCAGTGTGTTCCTGCATTTCCCAAGCATTGCATACCATCAATAGCTGATAACCTGCATACTTTAGCCGCCTGCCTCTCTTCTGCGCTCCAGGCTCCAACCATAAATGTCTGCCTGATGTCTCCACTTGGCTCCCTTCGCATCTCAGGCTTAACCTCTCCAAATTGGAGCTCAGTCTCTTCCCCTAGCTTTCTACAGGAAGCCAAACTCTCCCAGGCTTCCCTACTGCAGGAAGTGGCACCATCATCCACCTTGTGCCCTCCTTTTTTTCCACTTCCCTCATCCAATCCACCACCTTGTCCTGCCCCTTTGGCTCCCAGTGCTCACCTCCATGGCTCATTGTCACCCCAATCCGAGGCACCCCCAAGGTCTCTGCCTTCTCCATTTTATTCTCCTCTGACCATCTCACACATGGAGCCAATGGCTACTTGCTGCACTTGGAAACGTAAGTTCCTTGCCATGGTCTTTGGTCCTTAGTGGGTCTGGCCCCACCGACCTCTCTTACTTCTTAATTGCCACTGTTCCTTTCCTCATCTGCACCCAGCACCCCTTCCTCTTCTGGCCCTCTTAGTGCCTGGCATGTTGGGCTTCGCGGGTACTGCACGCCCATCCTACGAGTGAGGGTGACTAGACTTACAAAGGAGTGAGAAGGGGCTCAGGCTACCACGCAAATACTCATTCCTTGACATCAATATCCACAATGTAGCTCCACTGGCTGGATCCAGACTTTATGCTTATGGCATCGCTTGCATAAGCATGAATTTTCAAAGTTTACAGACTTAAAAGGAAAGACTATTCATTTCTTGCTGTTCAAAAAGTTATACAAAATAACTAGTTATATATGGTTTTTGTTATCAAAAATAGCAAACATACCTAGAACTTCTCAATTATTTAACATTTTTCTGGGAACCATTGTTCTCTAATAGTAATAGAGTGTATCTAAAATAGCAAAAGAAAACAGAAAAATGTTTCAGGAAAAAACAATGAGCCAACCCGTATCCTTTTCTTATTTCTTTTTGTTAATTTTTTTTTCAGCAAAATTACTTATGATATTATCATCTATTTTCAAGGTTCTAGTATACTTCTAATGTGTATAGGATGATTATGCTACTTTAGGTAAGAGCCTGGCCCTGATAAAAAATGTTGATTCTTTACAAATGTAATTTGGGGGACTTGCTCCAAAATTAAAATATAACGATGACTATTAACTTACAAATATGCTTATAACCCTATTACAGAAGCCAAAAATGAAGAGAACCGAAACCAACAATCAGGACAAAATGAATGGCTCTGTTTCTGGGTTCTTCCCTGAAACACGGACTCCTACTAGACTTTCAATTTTTCATCTACTAAATATATCTCATTTAAGAAGCTGATTTTTGTAGTAAAATGTTAACTATTTGTTCCTTGCTCTCAAGAAACTTCAGCAATACCAAGAAGACAGCATATGTGTGAATGCAATCATATTCTTCCAAGAACGTAATCATATTCTATAATTTGTGCAGAAGCCAAACTTACTATTGTGCACAGTCGATCAGCTGGTATTCATTGGACCTCTCAAAGCATGCCTTCACACCTTCATCATCCCAAAGTTTTTTCACATGATCAAAGAATTCCTAAAGTGTGAAAGAGTTACAAACAAGAAAATACACGTTATAATATTTCAGAAAGCTAAAAGTAAAAAGAAAGTGCAAAAAAATATTTTTTTCGGGTAGAACATAAATTTTCTTTGAGGAAGGCTACACAGTAAAAAGCACAGGTCTTATATTCACTGTGATGAAAAATGTATGCATGTGCTTTTGTTACTTAACTCAAATTGAAAAACATTTTCATCATCCCAGAAAATCTCCCCAAATGAAAAGTATAAGTCCAAAGTTAATACTATATGTTAATTATAAATACAACTAACAGCATAATTTTAAAATAGTAATTTAACTAATTGAACTGCCCTCTCAGCAAAGAAACAACATGCATATTCTAATGGCAAGTTCTGTCTTATCCAATGTCTTTTAAATTTTCCATGTTTGCCAAGATTAGAAATGGGCATGGTTGAGTAGATGGATTAAATTTGGCCCAGACGCATTATGTACATAAAAAAGAAATCTTTAAAATTACACTCGTTAGGGATAATAATCTATTTGGGTTTTTTTTTTTTTGTTTTAGTTTGTTTTGCATTTTAAAAAAACTATGAGTTAATGGCCAGGCTCATTCCTGCAATCCTAGCACTTTGGGAGGCTGAGGTGGGAGAATTACTTGAGCACAGGAGTTCGAGACCAGCTTGGGCAACATAGAAAGAACTCATCCCTACAAAAAAGTAATAAAAAATAAGCCAGAAATGGTGGCATGTACCTGTAGTCCCAGTTACTTGGGAAGCTGAGGCAGAAGAATCGCCTGAGCCCAGGAGCTTGAGGCTGCCATGAGCCATGATCGCGTCACTGCACTCCAGCCTGGGTAACGGAGTGAGGCCTCAACTTAAAATAAAATAAAATAAAATTATAAAAAAACTGGCTGGGTGCGATGGCTCAGCCTATAATCCCAGCACTTTGGGAGGCCAAGGTGAGAGAATTGCCTGAACCCACGGGTTCAAGACCAGCCCGGTCAACTTGGTGAGACCTCATCTCTACAATAAATAAAAAAATTAGCCAGGCATGGTGGCGCGTGCCTGTAGTTCCAGCTACTTGGAAGGCTGAGGTGGAAGGATCACCTGAGCCCAGCAGGTCAAGGCTGCGGTGGCTGGAAGTGTGCCACTACACTCCAGCCTGGGTGACAGAGTGAGACTCCAGCTCAAAAAAAATAAAAATAAAAATAAAATAAAAATAAATAAATAAAACAACTATGAGTTATGTGTGAACTGTGACTTTTAGTTCACTCAAGAGCCACGAGATGACCATGTTTCACCCTTTATGGGATGTAGGATCCTTTGAAAGAAAAACATTCTTTATCTCAAAGTAAAAGATGAGTTTATGAATTCACATTGGCAAAATTACCCAAGATGACCAGTGCTATGGAAGAAAATGTCCACACTGATTGCTAAACACAAAAGAAGCTGTGTATTATGTGTTTCCAAACTCTCTGTTGGGACATTCACACCCTTCCTGAGACAGTTGTCCGCCTTTGATTGTCATGAAAGGGGCTAAGGCTCCAATGGCCTATGCTAGCCACACCCCACTTCATACTCATCACAGCTGCCACATTTCCTAAGAACCAACACAGAGTATTTGAAGGAAAAAAAAAAAAGGATTGGTACTTTTCTTTAGAGACTCACAGTTCCATACAAGGGTGGATCCAAGTACTGTGAGGTTTGATGTTTATACAAATTTGGGGGACCCTCTTTGAAAAAAGAAAAACTAGGCTGGGCATGGTGGCTCATGCCTGTAATCCCAGCACTTTAAGAGGCCGAGGCAAGAGAATTGTTTGAGCTCAGGAGTTCTAGACCAGCCTGAGCAACATAACAAGACATCATCTCTACAAAAAAAAAAAAAAAAAAAAAATTAGCCAGGTGTGGTTGCACATGCATGTAGCCTGTAGTTCCAGCTACTCAAGAGGCTGAGGCAGAAAGATTGCCTGAACCCAGGAGTTGGAGGCTGCAGTGAGCCGTGATCGTCAATTGCACTCCAGTCTGAGTGACAGACTGAGACATGGACTTAAAAAAATGAAAAGAAAAACTGAATGATGAATACAGAAGTGGGCACAAAACTTCGGAAGGGGAGCAGAAGTGAGGCACCCTGAGCTTAGGCTTTATTGCTTCCAGTAAATCCAATTTCTGATCTCACAGTACCAGGAACAATCTTTTAAGTTAGGGCATAGTATATATTCATTTCTGTCTGTCTGTCATCATTATCAACAAATCCAAATTGTTCACAGTTGACAAAAGGACACCCCACCCCACGGAGAGCAGCTGAACCTCAGTTTTTATCTTGTCTCCCTAGGTTCACATTTTCTTCCAGAATCTTCCTCTGATGCTTCCATCACTTCTGTAAAGGCGTTTGTAGACTTGCTTTAAAAAATTTCTTTCTAGCCGGGCTCGGTGGCTCAGCCTGTAATCCTGCACCTTTGGGAGGCTGAGGTGAGTGGATTGCCTGAGCCCGCGGGTTCGAGACCCGCCTGGGCAGGCGAGACCTCATCTCTACAATAAAATCAAAAAATTAGCTGGGCGTGGTAGCGTGCACCTGTAATTCTAATTACTCGGAAGGCTGAGGCGGAAGGATCACCGGAGCCCAGCAGGTCAAGGCTGCAGTGGCCAGGAGTGTGCCACTGCCCTCCAGCCTGGGTGACAGAGTTGCGACTCCAACTCAAAGAAAAAAAAAAAAAAAGGAAAAATAAAAAAAAGAAAGATTAAAAAAAAAAATTTTTTTTTAGAGACTGGGCTCAGTGACTCAGCCTGTAATCCCAGCACTTTGGGAGGCCGAGGCAAGTGGATTGCCTGAGCCCATGGGTCCGAGACCAACCTGGACAACTTGGCAAAACATTATCTCTACAATAAGTCCAAAAAAAAAATTTATCTAGGCATGGTAGAGCGCATCTGTAGTTTCGGCTACTTGGAAGACTGAGGCGGAAGGATCGCCGGAGCCCAGCAGGTTGAGGCTGCAGTGGCCGGGATCGGCCACTGCACTCCAGTCTGGGCGACAGAGTGAGACTCCAACTCAAAAAAAAAAAAAAAAATTTCTTTCTAAGAGAGACACACACGCACACATATGCATGTGTGCACATGCACATATACATGTTTTAAGAGGAATACTCCATGATGCTGTTATCAAGATGATCTTGGAAGAGCGTGATAACCCCTGCCTCGTGGTGATGTCTCTGCATTGCTAGCTCTGGGCACCTGATTTCTCTCCCCATGATAGACATATGACACACAAGACCCAATTTCACTGGATTTACTCAAACATAGGAACCACAGATACCAAATTTTATAAAAACCTACACAAGAATTATCCACTATAACAGGTTTCCAGACGGCAACTTAAAAAAAAAAAAAGACCGAACCGTGTACATATTGAGCCCCTCGATCTGGTTTCCAAGAACAAGAAAAGGCCAGGGCAAGAGAGGGGAGGAGGCCAGCAGCACGCCCACGAATCATGAATCTTCATGCCACCACACTTGCCACCAGCCACGGAAGGGCGTCCACACGGTGCCGACCCAGAGTTAAATGGCGCGGGGCTGGAGCTCGGCAAGGGTTAGAAAAACTCGACTTTGATCTTGGCCTGCAGCGGAGCCCCTGGGGGGCGCCCACCGGCTCGGCGCCCCGCCTTGCGCCCGCCCGCACCCGGCCTCCCGGGCCGACTGGCAGGCAGGCAGGCAGGCAGGGGAGAAACTAAGGCCCAGGCAGCGGTCCTTGGTCTTCCGCTCACTTCACACCGACAAAGGAGACCCGGGTGCCGCTGGGCCACGCGGCAGGTTGGGGGCCTCGCCAGGCAGGAGGAAGCCCGCGGCCCTCCGCCCCGGGGCTCCGGCCCCGGCGGAGGGTCGGCGTGGGAAGGCGGGGCTTTCGGAGTCAGGGGCACCTGCGCGATCCTGCCCAGGCCCTGCTGGGGTCCTTCTGCATAAGCCTCGGCACCCCCGCCCCACCCCCACCCTCGATGGCTCACACCTGCCAGGCTGGGGATTCTCGGGACTCCTCGGCTCATTCTTTCGGGTTCACCCCCTGCCGTTTTCTCATTTCCTCGGCAATACCCTCTCATTCTGTGTTAGCTTCCCGTATGCCACAGTAAGGACCTTAATGACATAATAATCCCTACTTAGTTCTTATGTGTTCTTATCTTGTTGAAGGTAATGTGCACAACACTTATAATCTCATTTATTTCTCAGAAAGCTGGAAGAGGTAGCTGTTGTCATTTCTTCTCAGAGAAGTTAAGTGATTCACCCAAGGGCACACAGCGGGTAATGGCAGGGTATCTGTCTTATTCCACAGTCTGTGTTTTTAACCACTATGCACACTAATACCTTTTATGATAAATATTAAATAATGTGCTGTTCTCTTGTTTTCTACTGGATTTCTTTAGAACTGCTAATGATGTCATTTGTTTTAATAAATCCACTCTTTTTTTTTTTTTGAGTTGGAGTCTCACTCACTCTGTTGCCCAGGCTGGAGTGCAGTGGCATGCTCATGGCCACTGCAGCCTTGGCCTGCTGGGCTCAGGCGATTCTTCCCCTCAGCCTTCCAAGTAGCCACCACACCCAGCTAATTTTTTGATTTACCGTAGAGATGAGGGCTCACCAAGTTGCCCAGGCTGGTCTCGAACCCATGGGCTCAGGCAATCCTCTCACCTCAGCCTCCCAAAGTGCTGGGATCATAGGCGTGAGCCACCACGTCCGGCAGGATAAACAAAGTTCAGGGAACCTGTACAAGGGTACCTTGTTAAAGCAACACAACCGACACTCGTGAGGATTTTCACAGATCAGCACATCTCAGGGACATAGGCAGTTTATTCCAGGATTCAGAAATGCACCACAAAGGTTCTAAGTGTGAGTTCAGTTCATGAAGAAGCCTTCATCTTCTCTGTCAGGGGAAGATCTACCCACTGGCGAGGCTGGAATACTTTACAGGGGAGGAAGCTAGACCCCAGCTGAAGCATGAGACAGAATTACAGAAGAGTGCTAGAACCAAGACACA